TTTTTTTTTTTTTTTTTTTTGAGAGGTTTTTGCTTTAGGGCATGTGCACTCACTGGAGAGACAGAAAGTGAGAAATCACCCTCCCCACCCCCCGGGGGATAGCCACACTGCAAACCCTTCTCCTCTCAGGACTTCATGCACGCACACAGGCCTGTTGTGAGTTTTAAGCCACCAGACCTGAGACTCGAACCGCGGTTGACCACGTGGGAGTCCAGCAATGTAACCATTATGCCATCTGCAGGTCCCAAGCTCTTTCTTAAAAATACTCTGTCCCCTGGGGCCAGGAGGCGGCATGGTGATTAAGGGCACTTGACTCCCACATGGTCAACCACAGTTTGAGTCCCAGACCTGGTGGCTTGCTTTCTCACTTTCCCTCTCGCTCACTCTGTCCCTCTCTGATCAAACTGAAAATTAATTAATTAATTAATTCATTCATTTAAAAAAAATACAAAAAACTCCAGCCCAGGGCTGGCAAGTGGTGTGGTGGTTAAGGGCACTGGACTCCCACATGGCTGACCACAGTTCAAGTCCCAGAACTGGCAGCTTGCTTTCTTGCTTTCCCTCTCTATCTCTCTGTCCCTATCTGGCCAAAGTTAAATAAAATAATTCTTTTAAAAAAATACTCCATCCCTCCCCCCCAAAAAATAACAACAACAGAAAATACTCCATCCTGCCAAAGGCTATTGTCTAAAAATGGAAGAGTCCCCAGAATCTGTCCTGAGAGTCTCTCTACACTCCCACTGTTCTCACTCTCCAGCTCAGTCTGCAGCCTCACTGCCATTCCCCCGGAAATGAGAAGAAGCGTCACATCTTCGTGTCTCTGTGCACACTGCCAACTCTTCCAACATGTCTCTCCCCAAAACTCTATGCCTGGCAGGTACTTTCAATCTGAGCTGAAGATCCGCTTTTACCATGAAGTCTTTCTTCTCCCCACTCATGGGCCACAGCTTCTTCATGTGTCCCACATAGTTGGTTACCCGAGTTCTGGGATTCCTAGAGGCTCCTGTACTGGATAGCTTTTCTGTCTCCGCACTAAACTGTGAGCTCCTTGAGAAGAGGGACCCTATCTCGCTGGTCTTTGAATCTCCAAAGCGCCAGTTAAGGCCTGCCACAGAGTGTTTTGTTTAGTGGAGAGGCGCTCTGTCCATGCTGTTTGTGCAGATCCATTTCAGGTGCTATAACTGGGAGGATGAGGAAGCAAGAGAGCTTCTCTAACATTTATGGAGGCTTCTGTCCAAGTTCGAATACCCTGGGGCAAACAAAAAATGAGTCCCATAGATGAGAAGAGAAACAGGTCTGCGACTAGCAGAAGTGAAATCAAGTAAGTATAATAGGACAGGGTGTTAGAATTTAAAGGGACCTCGAAGATCATGTGGAATAACCCTTTAATCTATGGCCAGGAGCCATCAGCAAATTGCCCAAGATCACACAGCCTGCAACAGTGGCAAGGAGAAATTTCACAGCTCATCTCCTGAAAGATGCGCCACAGACGAATTCAATTCCAACATCCAAATAATTGGAGGCTCAAAGTTGAGAGAGGGTGCAGAGATTTTACAACATTGCCCTGATCAGCCCAGGTGAGGGTAGTGAAAATGGCAAGCCCCTCCCATGGTCCCTTCCTGTCTGTGACAAAAAGGACCTAGTCAAGTTACACTGCTGAGACCCTCACAGGTGCCCAGAAGTTCCCGTGGTGCGTTGGGCCTGGAGTCCACACTGTCTGGAGAACCCAGATCTAGTCCCTCGCTCATTAGCACACCTGGCCCCACCTCTCACCATCCAGGAAAATGCCCCCCAAATGAATCCAGAGCTCAAGATCTGAGCTGAAGGAATAGGCTGTATCTAAAGTCAAGCAGGTCTTCAAACATGTCAGACTGCCAGTGGAGATGGAAACTTATCCCGGGGCAGACTGGTTTTTTGGATTCTAATAGGCATAACCCAGGTACTCCTTCACGGGGGCTGCCACAAGTCAACAGAGGAGCCACGTGCAGGCCCTGGAATTTTGTTCACTCATTTATTTGAATTTGGCAGCCAGGTTAGGGTGAGAGACGCCTTTTAGTGCCAAAATCCTTCACTGCTGCCCTAGGGGAAGGTTCACGTGTGTCTCCAACCCATGATTTTGCACCATCAGACATGTTCCTGCATGCTTTAGGAACTGCTGCTGAGCCACCTGGGGGGAGCCCAAGCCTAGGGGATGGGAATTGGAGAGGAAAGGAGAGGGGATCTACCATTGTTACGAGATAACACATTCATAGGCCGTAATACAGATGAGGAAAAATAGCTCTCCTACCATAAGCTGAATGCAGGAACTGAAACTCTGTTGGATAGAAATGTTAGTTGAAATTACCACTAAGAATTGGTACAAAGTTGTACACATTGCAGTTACATAAACAGACTTTGTCTTGAAATAGCACACAAAACAGTGACTGCACGGGGTGCAAAATGCCTCTATTCTGGAGAGGGTGACAGACTTGCCATTCAGGAAAGTCCACTTGTAGCGGAGAGGCACCTCCCTGGGTGCTATGGCATCTTCCAGGCAGCTGAGTCAGAAGCTGCCTGGATGTGAGCAAGCCCAGACTCCTGCTCTTTGCTTGTCCATGAAGACACTGCAGTTCTCCCGAGAACTGCTGCGAGACCTCACACATGACAGAGGCTTCATGTGTTACAGGAAGTGAAAGCCACAGGTGGCCTCTAAAAACCTATCTGTAAAACCCCAGGGAGTTAGGACCAATGCAGAGGCACTCCATCTCCAAAGCCACTGGGATGGTGTGGTAGCATGGAAGGAACACAGGCTGTGGGGTCAGACAAGGTGGGTTTGAATCCCAGCTCTTCTGCTTTTGAGCTATGTAACCCTGGACAACTTAACCTCTCTGAGCAGACTGGAGGCAATAAGCTCTAACTCACAAAACGAAGGTAAAAATGAATGCTGACAACATGCCTCGTGCTGTGCCTGGAACATGGCAGGTGTTCAGGAAACAGATCTCTTCCTTCTACTCTCCCCCAGGTTTGTCACATGTAAAATAGGAATAATACGCTTCACAGGGCTGCTATGAAATCAGTGAGATGATAGATGAAAACGCTAAGGGAAGAGGCACTTCCGCTTTACTTGTATCAGTTACATTGTTTATCCTTCCTTTTAAAGTCAGACCACCATTAATATGCCAACCCTTTGGTCTCTAGAGTCTGGAAACCAAGTCTCAGTTGGCTCCTGCCTCCTGTGGGACCACACAGTTTTAAATAGGGTCCCTAAAATCATTAAAAGCTTAGGGGAAACAGAAGCTCAGAAGAAAAGCTCCAATACCCACACTGTTTTCAGAACAATGAAAGAATGAACCATTTCCCTGCATCCTGGACAGATGATATCTTAGGGTACTCAGAGCTGCTAAAAATAGCTCTCTCTGTAGCAACTTCTTGGTCTCCTAAAAGCAGCTGAAAGAACTGGCTCCTTTGCAGCCTTCCACTCCAAGTGGCAGGCACCTCTCCGCACCACATCGCTGACAGCTGGCTCTGGCTGGAAGCGGAGAGTAACCTTCACTGTCCTCTCTGACCTTGAGGCAGCTCCTCTATGGCAGGAGCTCCCCAATGAAGTCAAGAGCCTGTGAATGCAGAGGACAGAATTCCCAAATATGTGACAGACCCAGGGTATGTGTGTGTGTCACACATAAAGGGAAAGGGATCATCTCCAAGTCACACCCAAATCAGAAGCAGAGTTAGTGCTACAAGTCCTGGTTGGGCAGGACTTTGCTGCCCATAATTTGCTGGCATCACTCTTCCTTGTGAATTGTGTAGGTTTCTGAGAAAATAGTCTGGGTTATTTTGGTTGTACTTTAGAAATATGTTAGCTTTTCAAAACATGAAATTTGGGAAGGGACAGAGAGTGGTACAACCATAATGCAACTGGACCCAAATCAGGAGGTCTCAGATTCACGGCCTGGGCCTCAGTCCACACACCCGTCCTGTGGTCTGGGCTGGCTGAGGGTGGCAGTGGGTTGTGGGATGAAGACCCTGTTGAGGTTTCCTGTCTCTTTACCTCACTCTCTGCTGCTTTCTCTCATGGAAGAAATAATATGATACACTTTTAAAAAACCCATAACATTGGGGGAAAATCAAGTTAGATAAGGGCTTATCTTTTTGTTGTCTTGTTTTAAAATTAAAACTTAATACTCCACACATGTCAGAGGCTTGCAATCCCTTTGTTTGGTCTCAGGCCCCTCCTGTCCACGCTCTGTTCTCTCCAGCCTGCTTGTTCTAGGCTAACGCGGCTCTCTCTGGCCCACTGCCTCAAGATGATGCAGTAGTTAAGAGCTGACACTGAGTGTGGTGGATCTCTGGGCTAACCAGTTACCTAACTTCTCTAAGATTAAGTTTTCCCATTTGGAAAATGGGAATAACAATAGTGCCGACTGCCAGGATTTGTTGTGATATGAAACAAGTTATATCCATAAAGAGCTTAAAATAGTCCCTAGCACATAAAAACCATTCAATGTATAGTAGCTATTTATTCCTTGTTCTTCCACTTTCCTGCCAACCTGATCCTAAAACAATCCTACAGTCTGTTACCAGGAGTGCTAAACATAACGAATGTCATGAAAACATAGCTCGGGATCGGAGCCTCTGCCTTAGCTGGGCTCCAGTGTTAGCCTGCTGTGTTATCTTGGGTTATGTGCACCCCACACGCCTCTATCTCACACTGGACCTGCTTCCTTAAGGGCCCTCCCTCCATCCCTGCTCACCTCCGTTTCAGCAAATCAAGGTTATCAGACAGGAACTCTCCAGTTCCCACGGAGCAATTTATTCTGAGCACATCTACCTGTGACTTTTAGTCTGTGAGGAAAAGCTGCCCTCCTGCGTGAGGCATCTCACCTCCACCTGCCACTCAATTCCCCAAGACAGAGAAAGCTGAGCTCTGGATTGCAACCCACCTCAGCACTCTCCACGGGGGGCCTTGCTCTGTCTGGCACCACTTCTCCTGCATCTCCGACTTGTCTCATCCTTGCGCCTTCCCATCAGTGCTTACCTCATCCGAAAAAGCCCTCCTTCAACCCCACATTCCCCGCTAATCAATGCCCTCTTGTTTTTCTTTTGCTAGTAGTCAAGCCTCCTGTAAGAGAAAGCTGTGTCTGCTAGATCACCTGCTTCGCTCCCTAACTCACTGCAGGGTGCTTTCTCACCTCCCCAGCTCGCCAGTGCTGCTGCCAGTGCTGCTGCTGCGAGGTCACTGAGGCCTCTGGACTCCAGAGGCAGTTCGTCTTCTCTCCTGATCTTTCCTGATAGTCTGCGGCAACTCACCGCATGTTGTTTTAGACTAGAGTGTTCACAAGGCCTAGTCAGATTCCAGAGTTCTTGGATTTATTTATTTATTTATTTATTTATTTATTTATTTATTTAATCTATTTACTAATTTGTATTTAAATCATTAATATATTGTGATGTACTTGATAGTCAAAGTCACCACCATTTTAAAAACAGAATTGATCAAATTTGATTAAGTATTTTAACAAATAGGATATATGTGACTTTCATGATTTCTGCCTCCTGTTGCCTTTTTTTTGGGGGCGGGGAGTATTATGTATCGTAGTGATTAAAAGTAAATGTAAAATCAACGCGGAGATACTGAGACACATTTTAGCCCCTGTGTTACTGCTCCCCTTATATGCTCTTCAAGGACAGTGGCTGCAGCATCCTCCATTTCTAATCACTTGCAGTGTCTTCCAGAGTGTCTCAGGCCTAACTGGGCCAAAATAAATGTTTGTAACATGACCCATCTCTCTAAGCACTTTGGGGGTTATGTTATTTGCATAAAATAGTTCTTATTTGATAAAAAGAGGGGCTGGCTGCTAACTTCATGGGTGTGTGTGTGTAATGTGATAATAACATGATTCTTATTTTAGAGATAGCGGTAAGCAAGGTTCAGGCCAGATGACTCTAAGGTTGCTTATCTAGGAAGTCCGAGTCAGGACTCATATCTAGATCTTCAGATGCAGTCCATATCCTTTTCTCCTTACCTGTCCCAGAAAAGGGGGACGGCAGTAGAGGACTGGAACAGCAGGCAGGAGGGGAGATAGGAGATCAGCGGGTTCCAGTCCACATGCTGTTGCCGATCCATGAGGTAACCTGGGACAAAACCCTGCTTCTCTCTGAATCTCCCTTACTGAGAGAAGAAACTGGCCTGGAGGAACTCTGAGGTCTTTTCAGGGTCTAATTCTATAATGGGAATTCCCAAACAAGAATATTGGGGTTTTATGATGGCATTCAAGGCCCTGCAGTCCAGATTCATCCAGCCTGGTCTCTTCTTCAAGCGCTACGACTCCTTCTAGGATCCTACCAATGTGGCGTTCCCACATCCCCACACCTTCGCTGATGCCCATGTGCCTGGAACGTCTATGCTTCCTTTGTGTGCCTAAAAGAACACCTCCTGCATCTCCCTCATCTCAACTGCTGCCCCTCCAGGAAGCCTCCTGCACTTTCACCCTCGGGCAGACTGCTATTCCCTCCTCTCTTCTCACGTGCATTCCTGTTACGATCCGTATCACACTGTACCGCCATGAATCATATGTCAGGCTCCCAAATGGACCGCAAGCTCCATGTGGATAGTATCCTTTGATTTTTCTATTCCAGTGTGGAAGCCATTCAAAAAATAAATACTTGTTGAGGAAACGAAGAGGAATTCACAGGGCCAGACACTGGAGTGGTGGTTAGAGTAGCTAGATTCCACATGGCTGACCATGTGGTTTGGGTCCTGGACCTGGCAGCTTGTGAAAAATCAGGGTGCATGTTTGTCCATGCCTATAATCCTGAGAGAAGAGAGAAGAAGAGATTGCAGTGTGGCCATCCCCTGGGGGGGGTGCTTTCTCACTCTCTCTCTCTTTTCTCTTGCAGTACATATACCCTGTGATGAATTTAAAAAGAAAAAGAAAAGAATTTACATAAAACAACCTTCAACCCTGAGTGGGTAGTTCACTTGAATCTCAGAGAGGTAAGATGACTTGCCTTAGGCCTTACAACTACTAGGCTGAGTAATCAGGATTCAAACCCAGGACTCTAACCACAGAGCCCATATTCTTTCCCCACCAGCTGAGCATGGGGGTTAGTATCAGTGTAATACCTCTGCAATGCTCCTGGCTCAGAATAGAACAAACCTTTTCAACATTTTGAGCCCATTTCAACCTCTAGCCAAGGAATGTTAGGTCTTTATTATTTTTGAAAAATAAGTAGTTTGTCTTGGCTTGAAAACCAGCTCTTTACCCTCTGGTGCAAGTCTCTCACTCTCTTCCAAATCCACACCCCAGGAGTCTACGATGTGACTATAAGTGTGTTTCCCAATGACAGCCTCAAGGGAAACTGAGCAAAGAGTGGATTTGGACATTGGTTGGGAGAACAGAAAAGGTTTTGGGAGGAGGATGCATGCCTCAACATTCTAGCATTGGACGAATGGGTCGACCTTAAGTCCCAAGGAGAATGAGGAATTCTACTCCCACCCCCACCCTGAGGCTGATCTGCCTCTGTTCCCAGAAGGGACTCCCAAGACAGCCAAGCCTGGGCAGGCTGAGCCCAGAACAGTTAAGGACAGGGCAAAGGCCAGCAGGTAGGTTTCTTTTTCCAAATAAAGTCTCACCCCCATTCACCACTGCTGTCCCCATGTTCTCTTACCTGGAGCATAACTGGGGCTATTGGTGGGGTATAGGCTGGGATTGTAGGCAGGGGCCGCTGCTGGATAGGCTGTAGGGTAACCTACAAAGAGACAAGACAAGCCTCATTTAGTTAGGGAAGTAGAAAAGCAGACTTCTGAGGAAACGGGATCCAAGCCCCACGCTTTGTTTGCATTCCATCTCTTCATGGCCATTTAGACAGTGTATGTGACTGGCTTTCGACCTCTCAAGAGAAGGTCAACGATACCAAAATTCCAATATTTGTGGACTTTTTGGCCTATTTTTAAAGATGATACCTGAAATATGTCTATATTCTAACGGTAAAAAGGGGTAGCAGACAATATAGAAGTGTGTAAAATGAAAGTCTAACTTTTACATTTCTGCCAAACATAAATATCTTCCCTAGAAGTAATACCACTGACAGCTGGGCATCTATCCTTCCAGATGGTTTTCTATTCTTTTTTTTTTTTTAAGACAGATTTTTGCTATAGGGCATGTGTGCTCACCAGAAAGATAGACACAGAAAGTGAGAAATCACCCCTTGGGGGGATGGCTTCTCAGCGATCCATTCTCCATTCTCTTCTCAGGATTCTGGGCAAGCATGCACAAGTACCTGGCCTAAGTTTCAAGTCTCTAGGTCTGAGACTCAAACTGTGGTCGGCCATGTAGGAGTTCAGTGCCTTAACCACTACACCACCTGCTGACCCTGGTTTTCTTTGCATTGTTATACACATATAGTCAGTGGCGTGCTGGTAAGTATATAACAACTGGCTCGAGGTGGTTAGGGTGGAGGCTGTTTTGTAACATTTACCAATTGCCATGGTGTAAATACTCCTATCGTGGAAGCTACTAACATCACTGAATGAGTAGTTGGGAAGATGCTCATAACCAGCTCTTGAGCAAGCCAGCTCTAGCTCACCATGAAATATCTAATATACATAGCAAATTACATCTAGTTTATTTTTCTGAAAAACTTTTACCATGGTACAGTATATATAACATAAAATCTAGAATTTCAACCATTTTTAAGTGTTCAGTTCAGTGGCATTGATGGCATCTGTAATGTAATGCAGCTATCATCACCACCTGTTCTAAAACTTTTCATCACCCCAAACAGAAACACCGTAACGATGATCAGTAATTGCCCATCTCTTATCCTCCTCCCACCCTGGTAACCTCTAATCTGCTTTCTGACTCTACAAATTTGCCTACATTAGGTATTTTATGGAAATGGAATCATACATTACTAGTCCTTTCCATTCCATCTCTTCATGGGCTGTTTCAGATAGTACATGTGGCCGGGTTTCGACCTCTCAAAACAAAGTCCCTAATACCAAAATCCCAGTATTTGCAGATTTTTTGCATGAGTTTAAAAAATGATACATGCAATTTGTCTATATGCTCACTGTAAAAAGGGGTGGGCAGCAATATGGAAGTGTTTAAGGAGAAAGTCAGTAGAGGCTGGGCTCTGGCCTCTTTAACTTCACATGCTTTTACGGTTTACCCATGTTATAGCGGGTACTGGAACTCCCTTCCTTTTAATAGCTAAATACAGTAACACCCCATTATATACATTTACCACATTTTGCTTGTCCATTCATCTGTTGATGGACATCTGGGCTATCTCCACGTTTCGATACAGGAATAATGGCACAAAGAACAATAGCATACAAGTACCTGAGCCCCTGTTTTCAATTCTTCCGGATATATCCGGATATATGCCAAGTAGTGGGATTGCTGGGTCATATGTAATTTCATGTTTAGATTCTACCCCCCCCCCCACTCACTTATTCACTTCTAATGCCAGAGAGCACATGTATGTGCATATGCAGATGTGCATTAGAGAGACAGGCAGCACCCTCCTTGGGGCCTGTTCCTTCCATAATCCTCTCCTCCATTTCCCCACCCCATCAGGATTCTGGGCATGCACACATACATGCCTGGCAATGTTTTTGAAGTCACTGGAATCAGAATTTGAGCTGCAGTCAGCCATGTGGGACCTGACAGCACTTCTGTACTATGAGGCCAGCCAAAACTCCATTTATTAAACTTTATCTCATGCAAACTTAAAAAAAAAAAAAAGAAAAGAAAGATATTTCAGATCCCAATGAAGATCCTGAACCTACTTAGATTCAAACAGGGTTAAATAATAATAACAATAATAATAATAATAATAATAATAGATTTTTTTCCTAGTCTCTCTAAAAGAAGTGTGGTGTTTCTGGCTGACAGATTAATCAACATTATAGATTAAATCTGTTGCCAAGGAATAATATTTTTTTTTGAGAGGTTTTTGCTTTCGGGCACATGCGCTCGCCAGACAGACAGAGAGAGACATAGAGACAGAAAGCAAGAAATCACCCCCCAGGAGGGATGGCCACGCCACAATCCCTTCTCCTCCATTCTCCTCTCAGGATCTTGGGCACACACACACACGCGCATGCCTGGCGTGAGTTTAAGTCAAGAATCTTGCCAAGGTTGTTTACAATGATGCCAACAGCATGCTGGGTAACATTGTAGACTCTTTCAGATTTGCCATGGTAACATGTGTGGGGCATTCCTTTTTGAACAGTACCAATTACCTTAATGTCTACACTATCACCTTTCTTGTAGATTCGCATAGATGTTGCCAAAGGAACCACTCCATGTTTTTAAAAGGCCTAGAGAACATGTATCGGGTGCCTCTCCTCTTTCTTTTTGTGTTCGTCATCTTGGTTAATTACTGGAAGATGGCAGTTCTGGACAAAAGGCTTCTTTTGTTCTTCACTGTCACCCTAAAAATGCAGGAACCAGCAGTTAGCATAATGGCTATGTCGCTGGACTCCTACATAGTCGACCCCGGTTCGTGTCCCGGACCCGGTGGCTTAGAACTCACGCCGGGCATGTGTGCGTGCGTGCCCAAGATCCCAAGAGGAGAATGGAGGAGAAGGGACTGCGGCGTGACCATCCCCCCCTGGGGGGTGATTTCTCGCCTTCTGTCTCTCTGTCTCTGTCTGGCAAGCACACGCGCCCTATAGCGAAAAAAACCTCTAAAAAAAAAAATGTTGGTCCTAGTATTGGTTCAACTCCACATAGGAGTTTCTGAATAGCACCTTTAGAAAGTCGCCTGACAGCACAGAGAGGAGGAAAAGGATTCAGTAACTCCACAGTCAATGCGACAGTGGCAACCCTCATGTTTAACTTTTCAGTACTTCTTTTTTCTGTCAGAGGGTGTTCATATGAACAAGAGAGAAGGAGCAAAAGAGATAGAAAGCACCCCTAATAGTGTATGGTTATAACACAATCCCTCTTCCTCCATTTCTCCACCCCATCAGGATTTTAGGCATATACACACACCCCCAGCATATTTTTCAAGCTGCCAGGACCTGGATTCAAACCGTGGAAACCCTGGTGGGATCTAACTCTCACTGCATAGCATTTAATTGTTGTGCTGCAGTCTAGCCCTTCATGTTGTCTTTTTAGAGACCCATAAGACTGTTTATCACAATGGTACCACTTTACATTCCACCAGCAATGTGTAAGGATTCAAAGTTTTCCGCATCCTCACAGGGCTTATTATTTTACTGCCTTTTGTCTTGCTGGATTTTAATTTTTTTAAATTTTTATTCTTTTTGTTTGTTTGTTTTAGTTGCCAGAGAGTATGTATACTCACTCAGGGGGATGAGAGAGAGAAGGCGTTCCAATGGGGCATGGTCATGCCATAATCCCTTCTCCTCCATTTCTCCATTCTAATAGGGTACATGTGCTGATCAGAGAGACAGAAAGGGGGAAAGTGAGAAATCACACCCCAGGGAGGATGACCACATGGCAATCCTTTCTGTCCTCCATTCTCTTGGGATTCTGGGCACACATGCAAATGCGCCCAGTGTGATTTTCAAGCACCTGGGTCTGGGTCTCAAACCACTGAGCTGGCTATGTGGGATCCAGCCACCTCTACACCACCTGCTAGCCCCATCTGTCTACTTTTTAATCAGGCTGTTTGCCTTTTTTCTGTTGCACTGTAGGAGTTCTTCATATATTCTGAATATTAAACCATTATCTGATACATGATTTACAAACACTTTCATTCTGCGGGTTGTCTTTTCACTATTTTCTAAAAGTTTACTTATTTCTTCCATAAGTAAGAGACACAGAAACAGAGTGCCTGACCCTCCAATAGGGTCCTGATGCTGTGATCCACTCCCAGCTCCCAACTTCAGCCAGTTGGGATCACGGCACGTGTGCCCTGTGTACTGAGGGAGGCCTCTGGACACAAACCAGGAACGTTCCCGTGTGGATCAACCTCGTAGAGCATTATGTTTACCACTTCACCACTGTCCATTTTCTTGATAATGTCTTCGATGCAAGAAAAATAATAATAATAAATAAAATTAAACAAACACATTTTAAAAAGAAAAACATGCCAGGAGCACATGTGTGTATGTCCAAAATCCTGATGGGGTGGAGGGAATGGACTGTGGCACGATCCCACCCTATTGGGGGCTCTCTCTCTCTCTCTCTGTGGTGAGCACATGTGCCTTCTGGCAATTAAAGAAAAAAGAAAAGAAGAGAGAGTATAAGAAGGCAAGAGGAGAAAAGCATAAAGAGGCTGAGAGGCTGTTGCAAAGTGACATGCCAAGAATCTTCATGTATTGCGCCGCACTGCTTTTTAGAAAAACTGTCAATTTGTACTTACATTAGCAATGTGTAAGTGCCTGTCTCATTGCTTCTTGCAGTTTTTAAATGCTCATTGGTATGTTGACTGACAATGGAAAGCTGATTTTAAAAGTCAAAGATTAAATCCCTAAATCCCTAAAAGCTTCTTTGGGATTTGTAAATATTGGAGCTTTAATAATGTATCTTTGTTAATATGCCTTTCCCTAAATCCTTTCCAACTCCAAAGAAAATTCATCTCTCTTTACCCTCTGATCATTTTCTCATTCTAGAACTGAGGTAGTCAACTTGTCACTTAATTAGCAACCTGGAGGTATGCTATGTGTCAAGAAGAAGGCCAGGGGTCTAATCTGGGAAGCCAGAGATCCAGTCTCATGGCTGAACTCTGTATCCAGTTTCATGTGAATATACAGCCACAGGTTGTCACAC